AGATATAGATATAGATATAGATATAGATTTAGATATATATATATATATGTATATTATATTGTTATTATTATTAATATTATTATTATTATTATTATTATTATTATTATTTACTATTCGTATAATATTCTTGTTGTATGTGTGTGTTTGTATGATTTTGTATACATGCCCAACTATTCCCATGTCTCAGTTGCTGAGTGCTCACTTGATTCGAAGTGAATGTTCAATCACTCCTGACCCGAATATCCTCGAGAGTCTACCCAATTTCAACCACACCCTAAATCCCAAATCTTTGTCTCTACCCCATACAGTGTGTGGCTGGGTGTGACGCTGGCTGTATGTGGCTCAACACTTCTCGAAGCCCTCACAGACCAAATTGACAATATATACCTACCGTCGTGCATGTTCTGTCTATTGCTTGTCGCTGATTGGCTGAGCTAGTAAGCTGTAAAGACCATCCTTCATGGCTGCAAGTATTGTCCGTCAGGATAAATCAATTTAGTTTAGGCGTGCTCATCAAGAGTCCTAGTACACACAAACTTTCCCGTACACATGTAGAATAAAATATTGAATGTGCACACGCGTTTGTGTAGCAAACAACCACATTTTAACCCCTAAACATATACCCTAAACCCTAAACCTTAGCGGGGAGCATCGCTGCTTGGTAATAGGGCCTCCATTCCAAACTGGTTGTCGGCTGTGCAGTTGCTGATGCGTGTGTCTGCATCTGTTTACCTTGGACATAGTTTACAGGCTTTAAACTTGAGATTTCTGAGTTTACGCGTTTTATTCTTTTTTTTCTCTTTAATTTGGGCTCTGCATATATGAGCTGTATAACGACCCTGTTATTTTCGACGCTCGTTCATTGTATGTACATGGTCCGTTCGTTTTAATTATCATCCCGGATCGTGAGCGGTCTGTGAGGTTCATTTGTGTTTCTTGTTATTAGTCCACTTCCTTTCAAGGCTCTGCAGACACGTGTATGTTATATAAATCTTAAATCTTTTGGGAGGGATAGAGAATATTATTTTCCTGTCGCGTCTTCCACAGTGCCGTGTTCCGTTCCCAATGCCAAATAAGTAAGCTCGCTGGTGTGTTGTATGACCCATACGTTCGGATGTCATACCACCAGACACAGCCCCCCCCGGTACCCCCTTCCTCCCCTTTGGTAGCTTAGATCACGGCGCTAACAGTAGTCGTTTCCTCATATGCGTAGTATACCCACATGCCCTGTCCCTGAGTCCCGTATAAGCCCCAGTTATACCCTTGGTAAGTCGTAACCGCTGCGCCTGCAGATGTGGAGGCCTGAGCCATAGCGTTTGCACTACACGTGTCCATAAGCTCTTCTTCTTTAAAGTCAGTGGGATCGCAGTATGTACTCATAAACGTTTTCACGTTTTCCTACTATCGTTGAAACGCATATTGAGTATCACGCACTACGGGAAAGACGCTCTGCCAGTCCTGGCTGCGATATTGCTTATCCAATGCTTGCTTTCACACCCGTGTGAATTCATTGCGCATGTATGTATGGAGCCGTTCATGTACTATTGTATAGGTTCCGTGTGAGGTCCCAAGTAAGATGAGTATGTATGTATGAGACCGTTCATGTACTATTGTATTGGTTCGTTCATATTCTATTATTGTATAGATTCGTTCATGTACTATTGTATAGGTTCCGTGTGAAGTCCCAAGTAAGATGAGGATATATGTATGAGGCCTCTCATGTACTATTGTGTAGATTTGTTCATGTACTATTGTATAGATTCGTTCATGTACTATTGTATAGGTACGTTCATGTATTATTGTATAGGTTCCGTTTGAAGTCCCAAGTAAGATGAGGATGTATGTATGAGGCCGTTCATGTACTATAGTGTAGGTTTTTTCATGTACTATTGTATAGGTTCGTTTATCTACTATTATCAGCTCCTTCTTGGTCGCAGCGAGAGGCTCTGGTGATATCCGTTTACGTTTTCGATTGCCGTGGTTGCTTGCTTCTGCACACTGCTCAGCTGGGTGGTTGCTGGGGAGGAGCGACATGGTTTGTGGTCGACCACTGGAGCTGTGGGTCTTGTGGTGTTCCCGAGTGTGCTTGTAATCCTGTACGCGTTAACGTTTCCGTTTGCCTGTCGGTTTACATTGGCACCTGCGTTGACTGATCCTGTGTGGAGTTCTGTTGTTGTTGCTGCCGTTCGATAATCATCTCATTGCGCTGCTCTTCTTGCTATTGTTGTTGTTGTTGCTGTTGTTGCTGCTGCTGCAGCTGCTGTGGTTGTTGGTGTTGCTGCTGTGGTTGTTGGTGTTGCTGTTGTGGTTGTTGGTGTTGCTGTTGTGGTTGTTGGTGTTGCTGCTGTGGTTGTTGGTGTTGCTGCTGTGGTTGATGGTGTTGCTGCTGCTGCTGTGGTTGTTGGTGTTGTTGTTGTTGTTGTCGTTGTTGCTGTTGTTGTTGTTGTTGTTGTTGTTGTTGTTGTTGTTGTCGTT